AACATGTCGACCAACCAAAACAACTTCAAAATTGAATCTGAAAGGGAAGCGCTTGCTTTGAAGCACGAAATACAACAGCTGTTGGAAATGCTACTGGCGGAGTTCAACCAAGGTGTGTCTATATTATTATTTATGTTTCCATGATGGAAATCAACATGGAAGCAGTAACCTTCGTTTCTTCAGCTACAATCGGTAGGACGCGTTTCGAATATCCTAGAGGGAATGTCCAGCATGTTCACAGATTCGGGAATAACGTGTTTCAGGTGATCAATCATGGCACAGTGAATATGCATTGCATTTATATTAGCTTCAAATTCAGAACATCAAATGAAGAGATACCAAATGGTTAGCTTTAGTTCTCATATGAAGGATAGAGGACGCTTACGATTTACTGATTCAAAGTAATGTGTAGATTTTGGCACTATCTCCTTCAGGTAACTCAACTTAGATGGCACTTATACAGATGTACCAGTGAAGGTGATAATACGTAATCACATGATGCTCACAAAGTCAGATGTAGAATATTTCATGGAGCAATTGTAATGTTTCAGATATGGAATTAAATGTAACATATGGCCTAGATATTTATTTGTAAAGGCCTTCATTTATTACAAGTGTTAGTGATTGCTCAGATTGCATTGAACTTTTTATCAACCTTACGGGTGGACTATTGGTTGATGGGGGAACCCGGACATGATGCTGCATCCTGACTGCTCAATGTGGTTCGGGAACAATATGTAAAAGATAACTTGTATCAATGGAAACTGGGAGCGGGCTTGCCCGCGGGAGCTCTAGTGTCCAATATCATCAAGCCATTTGATTCTGTCCCCTTCTGTTCTGCGTACTTTTGAATGTTGATTTAGACTATCATGTCTTGAAAATTGTTTGTTTCAAGTTGACCATGGATGCACAAATTGAAAAAAGAGAATGATATCAACACGCCTATCAAACAAATCCTTCTCTGATTGAGAATGAAAGACAAAGGCTGCTTACATTTATGATCTGTATGAATACTTCTAAGCCATCATTCAAATCGTTGACTGGATCTAAGTCACTCAAGAAAAAAGAAATCTGCAAACAAAAGCAAATTAGAATCACTCGAAGAGCCCCATAATGGAGTCAGAAGATCTGCTAACTTGAAAAGTATACCAGTTTAGATGCAAGGATAGGAGTATTCAATTGGTTGGAGAAATCCGAGATGATGGCATCTCGCTTTCAATTTTCACCAAGCGGGATTCAGGTATGTATCGGATGGTTTGTGTGATTATGGGAAAGGAATATCTCTACACTACATTCTGATACAAATTGAGTGGGGATCACAGCGGTGTCGTTATTTCCGGACGGTTTTGAGGCAAGGGGTAAGGATGTGGCGGGTAAATTGCTGCATTTGAATATGGTGAATGCAAATGTATTCACAAAGATAGGTTTCTGCCCAGGTTCAGAACTGGAAAATCACACTAATGGTGGATTTTGTCCAGTTTTGTAAGCGAACCGTCTTTGGGATTAAATGTAATGATTCTTAATCTTGTGAACACGTAGATAACTATCATATCAAGTGGTCTGGTGGGTGCAAGATTGGTGGTGCTGAAAAAACGATTTGATGAGCGGAATGAGGACAAATTCGGGGTGAGACGCGTGGAAATCAGATTAAATCTGGTGAGCATGTAAACCTCCAATTTTGGAGTACTGATTGGGGGTTTAAGTGGGTTTTGCCAGCGAACGCGGTTTCCCTTTAACATTAATGATATTTTGTTCATCTAGGCAAGCAGGTCAGTATCGGAAACATATCCATGTTTTGCCTCAGTCTGCCAATCAATCTTCGCCATTGCCCTGAATATACATACATTGCAGGTATCATTCCTGGACCTAGTCAGCCAAACACAGTCCCACAGGACAGCGTTCTCAGGCCATTACTCGTGGAGTTGAACACGCTTTGGAAATCTGGAATACAAGTTGAAACACCAAGGCACCCTAACAGAAGGATTGTGTGATGTGTTGTTCTCACCACTGCCGGCATATTTGGCTCGGAGACAAACGTCCAAGGAGTCCTCGGACGGCGCCCCCGAGGAAAAGGGCACCCGAGGGTTAAATCCGAGGCAAATTTTGGCCCTGGCCTTTGCCTCCGATTAAATCCTTGGATGGGGGTTAACTTGGAGCCAGAATCCAAGGAATCCTTGGATTTTTGGCTCCAAGCCAAATTTGCTGGCTGTGCACGTTGACTTCAGATCTTCCAGCTTCCAAAAAGTTGCGGGATTTGGGAGTCATGCGTCCAATTTTTCCTGCACATACTGCTACATACCCAAACTGGATCTTCATGATACAGAAATCAAGAAATATGAAAAACAAACAAAAGAGAAACATACACGTGGATGACTAAGATGGAAACAAGCAACAACAAAGAAAACAAAAAATGAGCTCTTTTCAAAAAATAGTGTACAATGGGCTGGACTCAATGAACTTGAATATTGGGATCCTCCAAGAATGATCATCCTTGATTTAATGCATAATCTAGCCGGGATCTTAGAGTATCATGCACGTGATCTGATGGAGCTTGAAGAGCCTTTACTTAATAAAAAACTTCAGCAAGCCCAAAAAGAATATTGTAAAGATCAAATAGACACCACCAACATATTTACCTCGGATTACAAAATCCGAGGTATCCTCGGATGCAAAACCTCGGACAGAAGCTTCCCGAGGTTTTGATCCGAGGTAATTCTCAGGGCAAAAAAATACCTCGGGCAAAAACCTTGGACGAGGTCTGTCTGAGGATTTGCCTCCGATGATGCCTCGGATTTCTCAACCCGAGGCATCTATGCTGGCAGTGAGAGCTTGTAAGGTGTACACATGTAGGCGGACATTCATGGCTTTAGAGTATGGGATTAGTTAGGCGGGGATATACTTTCTTGCTCGAAGCCCGGTTCCAGATAGTCCTTACTCCTCAGAGAGCCTTCATCTGGACTTTCTGGAACCAGGTGAGCATATTTCTTTTATCAGCTTTCTTGTTGTTTTATTTCATTAGACTGTTACTGACTCCTCAGAGAGCCTTCATCTGGACTTACTGGAACCAGCTCGTAATTCATATAACGAGGTTCCAAGTTAATTGTCCGATTGTGCTCTCTCGAGAAGTCGTGCCGGATTCTCATCCGGACGCTAGTGAAGGTTCTCACAAGAACCTTAAAGTTATCACAATTTTTTTCAAACTATCTCACGTCATCTATTCGGTTGTATCCTTCGGGATAATCTGTCACTCCATTCACCCGGCTTCATTCTGTTTCCTGTCAACCCTGTTTTTTCCCCAGGTTTCTGTTCTGTCGCAATCTGCCATCTGTCAACTCTCCGTCTGTCAAGTACTGTCTTCGAAAGGATTGAAATCATCAATATCGGCATTAAAGTCCAATCGACGGACTTATCGAATGTTCGGGCCGGCTGCTCAGATACCAACCAATTACACTGACAATCCAGAAGCGGTAATCAGACAAGCCCGGAAAGAGAAAAAGAAAGAAGTAGCGACCACAGAGGATATACAAACCTCACCAGCGGGTCGACCACCGAACTTCCATTGGAGGCCTGAAGCCTCAGTGTCGGGATCGCCGGCAGCTCTGACTGACCGTATCGTTTACGCTTCTTCATTCTCGCATCCTACCGCATCAGACTCACCGAAGCTCAAATTCTCGCCGATTGATATATCACCCTCAGCTCCTGAGAAGACAGTCGTTGATTTGCACTTCAAGAAGCTACTTGGGGCTGATCGTACACCGCACCCACCGGGTTTTCTTCCTGCATTCACCCCACTACCTAAACCAACCACCACATCTACATCCGGACAGCCTCCACTCAGCGATCCGACGAATACCATGTCGAATCCAGAAGAGACTGAGATAATCCGTAATTTACGTTCCCAAGTGGCTAGCTTGGAAGTACAATCAGCGCAGCTCAACCAGTCTCGAGAGGAAACAGCTGAATTAAAGCAGCTCGTACGCGAGCTTTTGGCTGAACGAAGGCAAGCTCCACCTCCTAGGGACTCCGTCGCTGACACCGACCTGGGACAAGAAGACGCAACCCGTGTGACAGGTTCAAACACCTTCAGCCATTACGCGAATCAAACCCCAACGTCTCCAACTCCTATGGGACGTATTCAACAAACTTCACGTCCTGAGAATGTGTCAAGGGCTACCACTGAGCACGTTCAAAACGAGCAACCACCTGTGACCCACGCTACTCATCAACAAGTTAGCTGGGCTGAAGAAACTGGCGGCGCAAGAGGCTTCACCGAGATCTCACCCTGTTCAATCAACCCCGGCCGGTTTTAGGTCGTCATCAGCTCACCCTTCACCTTTAGCAACTCTGTACTCACCAGCGCCAAACCAATCCGCGACATCAGCTACCATTGATTGAGGAGGTCATCAATACCTCGCACCACCTCAACAGCCTGCAATTCCTGTAGGTCTCAGCTCTATGACGGCCGATCGTGTCAAGTTGAGCGATCTGCCTAAATTCACGGGCAAGTTCGGTAAACCTGCGGACCTTTTCCACTGGCGAAATCTCATCAAAGAGACGTTCGAAATCAAGAACCTTGTAGACGATCGGGAGAGATTGAAGTTTTTGGGGTCCTTGTTGAACGACGAAGAAATGTCATCATGGTATCAAGCTAATAAGGACGAGTCGAAGCGTCAGTCTTGGGAGGGTGCGATGGAAATGATGGCTATGGGTACTTTACCATTTGCCTGGCTGACGGACACCGAGAACGCCCTGCGACGACTGGAAATCAAATCTGGAGAAACGTTTGATCAGTATGTCAAACGAGCTCAGGCAATTCACCGACTTATCAAACCTTTCGGACAAGTCACTGATCGACACCTGGCACAACACATAACTTGGGGAGCGCCTCAACTAGTCAAGGATATGATAGAGAAAGACAAACTCTTATTGGCGCTGAATTTCTCCTTCCCAGTCTTCAAGGATGCAGCTGACGGCATCTACCGGTTCCTCACGAATAGCCGATTGATACCGGACTCATCTTCGAAATCGAGAGTTAGTTCAAGTGTGACAGCTTCTTCCCTTTCGGCATCTGGTGGTTCACGAGTGGCGCCCACTCCTAGACAACGCTCAGATGAGGAACGAGCGGACAACGCCTGGAGGTATCATGAGTACCTCAGAAGAACAGGTATCTGTGCAACTTGCAAGGAGAAATGCAACAATGCAAGCTGTACTCGACGAAACCCTTGTTTTCTATCGGTACCAGCCGATTTTAATCCTGGTCCAAGACCTCGTCGCACACCCCCTACGACGACTACACCAACAGCTGCTGGAGCTCCGACCCAAAGGCCAGCAGGTCGTCCAGCGCCGACACCAGCAGTATCCCGTGTCGCGGCTGTGGAGAACGTTTCCGACATGTTCACAGAAGACATCGCTGCGTATGAAGAAGCCGATCACTTTCAGGCTAGTCAAATAGAAGATCAGGCGGATGGTGAATTAGGGTGCGTACCTTCAAAATCTTTAGCACCCATCATCTTAGAGCCGATTTGCAATGGGAAAACGGTCCGTGCTCTTATTGATTCAGGAGCGGGCACAAATCTCTTATCCGACAAGACGGCGCGTGAATTACATATCCCGCGAAGGCCATTGGTGTCACCAGTCGAGGTACGCCTAGCTATTCCTACGGAAGGGGCTCCTTTGGTATTAAAAGACTTTGCCATGGCTAACCTGAAGTGCGAAAATCCCAGCACACGTTTCGGAGCGGTTTTCTTCAAACTGGCACCTTTAAGCTTGTCCTACGATATGATCCTGGGGTCGCCCTTCTTAACCAAATTCAAATTAGATATCTCGCTGCATCGAAGTTGTGTATTGCATATGCCAACCGGAAAGGTTTTTTATGAGAAAGAAATGCAATCAAAAATGAACAGAATCTTGTGTGCAATTGAGAACATTGACAAAATCTTTAAGGTGCAAGACTTAAGTGATTGTGAGGCCAAGGTCTTTGAAGACTTTGAGGATCTTTTCCCGGCAGAACTTCCTCCAGTGGAGGAAGAAGATGCGCCGGATGAAACTTTCCCGGAATGTTTACCGGATGTGAATAGACGTGTTAGACACAAGATCATTCTGACTGATCCAAATGTCACAATCAACGAGAAACAATACGGATATCCACGAAAATATCTGGATGCATGGAAAAAGCTTCTGGATCAGCATGTGAAAGCAGGACGACTTCGACAGTCTCAGAGCCAATATGCTTCTCCTTCGATGATAATACCGAAGAAGGACCCATCAGAGTTGCCAAGGTGGGTCTGTGACTATCGAACGTTGAACAAATATACAGTTAAGGACCGTTCCCCTCTACCAAATGTCGATGAAGCTGTGCGTCTGGTAGCGACAGGGAAAGTATGGTCTGTAGTGGATCAAATCAGTTCCTTCTTTCAAGATCGTATGAGGGAGGAGGACATTCCGCTGACGGCAGTAAAGACTCCTTGGGGCCTGTATGAATGGGTAGTAATGCCAATGGGACTTACCAACGGCCCGGCTACGCATCAGGCACGAAATGAGGAGATTCTGGGTGATTTGATAGGAAAAATCTGTGTTGTCTATATTGACGACATTGTGATTTTCTCACAAACGGTAGAAGGACATGAAATTCATTTACGTCAAGTTTTGGAACGGTTGCGCACTGCTAAGTTATACTGCTCAGTCAAGAAAAGCAAACTCTTCAGGAAAGAAATTAAATTCTTAGGTCATCAAATCAGTGAAGCAGGTATTTGTCCTGATGATGAAAAAGTCAAAAAAATTTCAAAATGGTCTTCGCCAACCACCTCGAAGCAACTTCTCAAGTTCTTAGGCACCGTCCAATGGATGAAGAAGTTCATTGACGGACTTTCACACTATGTTGGTACCTTGTCCCCATTAACAAGTACGTCTTTGAAGAGCAAACCATTCCAATGGGGGAAAGCTGAAGAAACGGCTTTCAACAACATCAAGAGATTAATCACGACACTCCCAGTCCTCCGCAATCTCGATTATGATTCAAATGAGCCGCTCTGGCTGTTCACGGACGCCAGCGGGAATGGGCTGGGCGCAGCTCTATTTCAAGGTCTCGAATGGGAGACCGCTTCGCCAATTGCGTATGAAAGTCGGACGATGAACCCGGCTAAGAAGAACTAATAGGTTCATGAGCAAGAGCTGTTAGCAGTTATCAACGCGCTGAACAAATGGCGGCTGTTGCTATTGGGTATGCGCGTGAACGTGATGTCAGACCATCACTCTTTAACGACTCTTCTCACGCAACGTAACCTCAGCAGGCGTCAGGCCCGTTGGCTTGAGACCTTGTCGCAATTTGACTTAAACTTCCGTTATCTCAAAGGGGAAGATAACTCAGTCGCGGATGCGCTCTCACGACGCGAAGACATAGCTGCTTATGAAGTGCGAGGCCGATTGAGGGAAGCTGAGATACATGCAATTCGGGAGGGTTATACTCAAGACGCTTTCTGCAAAAAATTACAGAAAGTTTTGCCTTTACAAGAAGACTGCCTCATCAAAGAGGACCTCATGTACCTGGATGGCCGGTTGGTGGTTCCTAATTACAAGGGGTTGCGCCAGGACTTCATTAATCAAGCGCACACTGCTTTAGGTCATTTAGGTGTACAGAAAACATTGGCGCGAGTAAGGACTACTTTCTTTTGGCCAAGTATGGCTAAAGATGTGGAGGAGCAACTGCGTTCCTGTGACTCGTGTCAGCGTAACAAGGCTCGAACAACATCCACAACCGGCAAATTACAGAGCACCGCAGTGCCTCATCAACCAATGCAATCAATAGCTATCGACTTTATTGGTCCCTTCCCAAAGGTTTCAGGATATGACATGATACTTTCTTGCACCTGTAGACTCACAGGTTTTGTACGTCTGATACCAGCTTCGCAGCGGGATACAGCGGAACGGTCGGCAACCAGGTTATTTGCAGCTTGGTCGTCGATATTTGGCTTACCTGAGTCCGTCATTGGAGATCGAGACATAGCCTGGACCTCCAAGTTTTGGCAACACCTGCACGAACTTCTAGGAGTCCGCATCCAGCTGTCGACGTCTTACCATCCACAAGCCGATGGGCAAAGTGAACGGTCTAACAAAACTGTGGGTCAGATTTTGAGGCACTTCGCGGGTGAGAAACACGGAAGGTGGTTGAATTCCTTGCCTTCGGCCGAGTTTGCTATCAATTCCGCCGTTAATTCATCTACCGGTGTCTCGCCGTTTCACTTTGTTTATGGACGAATCCCGCGATTGTTTCCTATTCAAAGTCCGTCAGAGGCCGACAATGACGATGTGAAGCACTGGATTGAGCGCAGGGAGTCTGAGTGGGCTACGTGGAGGGATCGTCTGTGGTGTAGTCGTGTGGAGCAGGCCTTGCAGTACAATCAGCGTCGCCGCGAAGGAACACCTTTTCTTGTAGGTGACTGGGTCATGATTGACAGTACTGATCGTCAGCAGGTTGTAGGAGGCAAAGGACGTCCAACAAAGAAGCTCCGGGCGCGCTATGACGGACCTTACGAAGTTCAAGAGGTACTGAATGCCGGTCGAGATTTCCGTCTACAACTTCAACCGGAGGATTCGACACATCCTATTTTTCACATCTCGAAACTGAAACTATACCATGGAAGAGGTGTCGACGTGGCAGTTAGTACGATTGCAGCCGTCAGCACGGTTTCGTCAGTTCGGAAAACAACCCCTTACGGTCCTGGACAGGAGCCCTTGGGGCATGCTACGAAACGTGACGAGGGGGTGTGCAATTATTGCGCTAACACCCCCGCAAGTGAGTTTGATAATTCTCTAGATTCTTGTAGTAACGACGCAGTTGGCAAGCTTTGTTTCTTCCAAAATAACAGAACCTTAAGCGAGAATCACGGGGTACAGCGACGAATGGTGGAAGACGAGGGTTGTTGCAGTTACGATAGTGACTTTGTCACGGCCGAAAACAACCTCTTAGGACCAGGACCTGGATGCCTTTGAGGCAAGCGAGGACGTTGACAAGGGGGTGTGCATTATTATGCGCCAGCACCCCCGCAAGTGAGTTTGATAAATTTTCTTTGAAAGATTTTAAGTGAAGCGGCTGGCAAGCAGAATTCTCTCCTAAATAACAGATTCTGCGGCGACATACGGGATGACCATCATTCACTTTTCCAGTGGGACAAGCTTCAAGAGGAAATATTCATAAAAAAATCAAATTACTTCAAGACACAAGACTCAAGTTTCAAGGCACGACGATTCATCAATTCATGTTTTACTTTTCACGATTCAGATGAGATTTTACAATGACTATAATGAATCCCTTCAAGATTACAATCTTCACATAAATTTTCTTTTCCGTTTTTTACTTTTCTTACGATTTGCTATTTCACTTTATTCAATTTAACTCAATTTTTTTTTCTATTTCTCAGGGACGCGTTATGGTCACAATTTAACAGGGCGAGTTATGCCATTTTCGCTTTTTTTTTCTTTTGTGTGTGTTTGTGGTGATTAGACTTTTGTTTTTAGGAGGGAAGGGTGTAAGGTGTACACATGTAGGCGGACATTCATGGCTTTAGAGTATGGGATTAGTTAGGCGGGGATATACTTTCTTGCTCGAAGCCCGGTTCCAGATAGTCCTTACTCCTCAGAGAGCCTTCATCTGGACTTTCTGGAACCAGGTGAGCATATTTCTTTTATCAGCTTTCTTGTTGTTTTATTTCATTAGACTGTTACTGACTCCTCAGAGAGCCTTCATCTGGACTTTCTGGAACCAGCTTGTAATTCATATAACGAGGTTCCAAGTTAATTGTCCAATCGTGCTCTCTCGAGAAGTCGTGCCGGATTCTCATCCGGACGCTAGTGAAGGTTCTCACAAGAACCTTACAGAGCTACAGACCAAAATCAAAGAGAAGAAAACTCAAAGACACAATCAGAAGTTAAAAGAAGAGTTAGATGAGCTTGCAGGGGAATCAGAGGACTTTGACATCACAATGGAGATTGAGGGAATTGAAATAGAGGCAGAGAATGTTGAAGATGTTGACATAATGGATTTAGAGAAGGAAAATCATTTTTTTTGTAGCCTTTCAAACCAAAACATCAGCATAACCAATGCTCCAATGGAGGATGGAACAAGCTCCAACTCAAGCTTCCATCCAGAAGATGATCATGATACTCTTTTGGGTGATAGCTATATTGACAATGATGATGATAGCGAGATTGAAGTTTCAGACGGAGAAAATACTTTTGAAACATCTGAAGAGCCTGAAGATGCAAAGCAAGCCCTGAAAAATTTGAAGAACTTACAAACTGCCATGAGCCAAGTCATTTTACCGGCCTGGATAGCCAAACCGCCACACAATTTTGGGAATCCTTCACACAGAAAGCTCAAGTTTGATACATGGTTCAAGATATTTCAAATTTTTCTCCCACTAGTTGCTGCCGAGATTTGGGATCCAAAAACCTCACCTGCCAAATTTGAGAATATTCAGGATCTTGTGGCAATAACAAGACTCCTCACAAGCAAAAGACAAAGTAGCAAGCATTCCGATGCTCTACGCCACTTCCTTCCCAAGTATGTCAAAGAAATTCAAGGTATATACAAGCACTGTGAGGTGAAACCAAACCACCACTATTCTCTACACTATCAGGATATCATTGATTACTCAGGCCCATCTGCAAGCTTAACAGCTTGGGCCGCAGAGTGCATCAATCATCTACTGGCAAAGGTTTGGACAAATAAACAAATGGGTTGGTTTTTCTATTTTATGTATAGTAAATCTACTTGTGCACAATACTTACCATTCAACCAATTATGATAGCTACCACAAGTACGACTATGATCAAGGAAGTTGTGCGGCGCAACAAACTTTGTCTACTTCTCAAAACTTCCTCCCAGATGCAGCCTGGTATTTTGAAGGACACCTTCAAAACTTTGTTGCCTTTTGCTTCAACTTTGAAACTCTCTTCTGTAGATACCAAAACCAACCCGCGGCCAACCAAAAAGCTTGACCGTGATTTGTATCTGACATTCTATAAGATGTGTTGTGGCTTGGATCATTATAAATGGCAAGACACAGGCCAATGCCCTCTTAACTTTGATCTTCCTATCTTGAGTCCACAGGCAACTCTCCATATCAGCTTACCTTGGAATGGAAAACAAATTTCCATCTCCAAGCATCATGAGGGTAACAGTTTAGTCCAAGTGAATAATCCCCTTGACGGTAGAAAATACTTTGGCTCAATTTTTATCATCTTCACTCACACTCTGACTGATTATCAACACACTAAAACTGACAGCTATCTAGGTATAAATGTCTTTCCAGAGCTTTCTGCAAAAGATTGTGCATTCTCGCCGTATCTTTCCCATCAATTTTCTCAATCTAATATACATTTAAAATATGACAAAGACCTTTCAAAGTTGTTGATCTGCAGAGTGACCAATATAATCAGTCATGTTGCAATCCATTGGTAAGCTCCAGGCACTTACAGTATCTCTAAAGGCACTGTGGCCATTGTTGATCTTGATGATATCATGGTGTTGTGAATCACACTTGTATTTACAGTCATGTAAAGCTTTATAAGAACTCAAGATTATCCACTTCAATTTGATATTTTTCGGTCTCCTTTATGCTTTACAAGTAAAGCACCCCAATCCCATTAAAGCATCAGTTAAGTTATCAGAAGCTTTGATTGTAAGTATGAATCTACAAGCTCCAGTCATGGCCAACAATTTGATTGCTCAAAAAGCATGATGAAAGTGTCTAGGCCTTAAATCTAGACTCTTCTGGGATTATGATCAAGCTTGGGATACAATTTTTGAATCTCATGTTCACGGTTGTAGCTCCTTTTTACAATTCTTCCAAAAGCAATCTAATCACAGAGGATCACATTGAGGCAAATTCAATTGCATAATTGGTGAGAAATAGATGTGAACAGAGGACTCGGTAAGAAATAGACATGATAAAGGGAGAAACAGAATCATAATTTCTTCTCAACAATTGTAGTTACGCTTTTATGATTCTAAAAATGCCATCTGAATCAAAAAAATCAAATTGAAATGAATTCAATTGCATTGATAAGAAATACATCAAAAGAAGGCAGAAACATAATCCCATGTGAACAGAGACAGGTGGTTTAGGAGTCAAGTTGATGATACCTTCAAAAGTATCAAGTCCATCGATTTGAGATGTTGAAAGGAATATTGAAGCAAAGCTTGGATAGCAAAGCTGTATCAAATGTAGTCAAAACTTTTACACTTTCTGATGGACAACCTGAAGCATTGGTGTGACTCTTTCTCATTTTGAACTCGCTGAAACTACAATCGTTCTGAGTTTATAACATTATTTTCAAATTCATAAGCACTACTCATCAAGCAAGAATCAAAAACAAGATGATCATAGATACTTGCACATCACATTGTTTGATTAGATTGGAATGGTTGAGTCGGTGGGTATTGATGGGTCAGGGTTTGTGAAGGATGTTGTGGTTGATTATAGTGTTTCATACTGGTGGGAGTACCCTGTTTGATTGCTGATGAAAATTGATATTCAATTGAGAGCAGACACTGTTCATTATGTAGTTTGAGGCATTCAGATTCCAATTCTTCATGTGCAGCCACAAATGCAGAGTTGATCCCATCTTTCTCAGCTTAAACAACTGCATCAATACGCTCTTTTTCAGCTATTACTGAAGCATTGATATGATCTTTCTCTTTTTCAATTATTTCTTTCTCAGCTATGACTGCAGCATTTATCTGATCTTTCTCCTTTTCATAATTTCATTCTTTTTCAGCCTTCAACTCTTCTTTCTCAGCTGCCATCCGGTCCTTTTCAATAAATAAGAGTTTTTGTTCCTCTGCCATTGTTGAAATAAGTCAATCTTTCTCTGTCTCAATAGCCTTTCACATCAGATCTCTCTCAGCGTCAAATTGCTTGTCAAGATTTGACTTGTATCCCATTGTAATCAATGAAAGTCGTTGATCCATGATTGCTTCCTGGAATTGCAAAGCAATATGAAGTTCCTCGACCTTGGCTGTAGTATCCAAGGTGGGTGAGCTTGGACTTGCATCCAAGGCAACTTGTGTGTCGGTGTCAATGTGCAAGGTCAAGTAGAGAGTCAGTGCTTTTAAAGCAGATGAAGGGGGTCCTACTTCAGGGATGAGATTGCCACCAGAGCTGGATGTGAATTTAGAATTATCAAACTTTACTCAGTGGTTATGCTGGTTCATGTTTACGTGTGTCATTTCTATTCTTGAGCTGATAAATCAGATCTAAAGCTGAATCTGGAGCAGCGTGAGATGAAACAGAGGAAAGGTTTAGATTGATTTCATCAAAGAGAAGAAAGAGAGAAAAGACAAGAGAAAAAGATGTGGATCCTACCTGGAGCAGCGTGAGATGAAACAGAGGAAAGGTGAAGAAAGAAAACACCTTTCCTGATGCTGCTCCAGTGGGATTATATAGTGAACATCTGTAGAACTATCACACGACTAACATGTTGTAAAGCACAGCGGAAATCAAATGAGAAAGTCTCGCAGGACTGTAGAGACTAGGTGTAGTCGACGTAGGACAGTTGTAGACATATTTGATATTCACATATTTGATATGTCACATATGACAATGAAGAAAGACGATTAGTCACGCAGGACTGTAAGACTTATCTCAACACCCCCCCTTGCGTGCAACATGAAAGAGAGAAATAAAAGAAAATGAGAAAATTGAAAACAAACAAATGCATTAACCAATAACATGTTTAAGTAAGAAGAAAGAAAGAAAAAAAAGAGTGTAAAGGAAAATATAGAAAGAAAATCAAACTATGCCAAAACGTTCTCGGTGAGATTGTAACAGAACACGCCCTAGAGGCTTGGTGAGCATGTCTGCGAGCATGTCTTTTGATGCGACATGGAGTACGGAGATGGAATTATCGGCTACACATTCGCGCACAAAGTGATAGCGAGTGTGAATGTGTTTGGTGCGGGAGTGGTGTTGTGGGTTCTTGGCTAGGGCCTCGGCACCCTCGTTATCAACGTGTAGAGGGATGGACGAGGAAGGCAGGACACCTAGTTCAGTGAGTAGATTACCTAGGCATAACCCTTCTCGACAAGAATCGGACAGGGCTTTGTATTCGGCCTCGGTGCTTGAGAGAGAAACAGTGGCTTGCTTTCGTGAACGCCAAGATATTGGTCCACTGCCCCATCGATAGGTGTAGCCTGTGGTAGATCGACGATCATGTCGGTCTTCTGCCCAATCGGAGTCGGAGTAACCTGATATGGATGCGTCACCACCTAGCTGAAGAGAGAGATCTGACGTTGTGACTAGGTAACTGAGAACCCTGAGACCTGCCTTCCAATGGGCTTCAGAGGGGTCCTTGAGGAATTGGGACAGGCGACTGATTGAGAATGAGATGTCGGCACGAGTACATTGTGCGACCCACAGCAGAGCACCGATAAGACTCTGGTAATGACCTGGAGAGACTGCTTCATCAGCACGTCGTGGAAGAAGATCTTTGAACGAACTGTCTGTCGGGGTATGGACTTTGATAACCGAGCCAGTGAGAAATTTATCACGAAGTTCCATGATGTAGTGCGTCTGATTGATAAAGCAGAGATTCTTTGACAGGTCACGTCGGATATTGAGAGATAGGAAATGGTGTAATTCTTTGTTTGAACCAATGTCAAAGTGAGATGAAAGTTGAGCAATGAAGTTGTTGACAAAGCTGTCTGGACCTACAACTGAGAGATCGTCAACATGAACAGTTATGAGACCCTGTACCTTGCCGTTAACAAGTTCGAAGTAGAGAGTGGGGTCATGACGCGATTGAGTGAGACCAAGTGAAATGAGCACTTTATGGAGTTCGAGATTCCATTGGCAAGGAGATTGTTTGAGACCGTATATAGAGCGAGTCACTTCACAAACCCAGTCCGGATAGTCTGGATCTTCATATCCAGGAGGCTGAGTCATGTAGACCGGTTCGTCAAGATGACCGTTCAGGAAGGCAGTTTTGATGTTGACCTGTCGACCACTCCATTTTTGAGAGGCCATCATTGAAAGGACAAGTCGAAGAGTCTCAAGACGAGTGGTTGGTGCGAATACTTCGTTGTAGTCGATACCTTCTACTTGAGAATATCCCATGGCCACCAGTCGGGCTTTCAGTTTGAGAATAGATTTATCAACGCGTCTTTTGACTTTAAATACCCATTTCGACCTTATAATTTTTCTTTTATCAGGTCGTGGCACTAGCTTCCATGTGGACATTCCGAGAAGAGATGAGAATTCGTCATTCGCAGCCTTAAGCCATCTGTCTTTGTTTGGAGACCGTAGTAATTGCTTCCACGTCTTAGGTGTGTCCGAAACATCATCACCAGCTGGATGAGCTGAGTTGACAAAGTTTCCTAGTCGATCTGGTTGAGCTCAATTTCTACCGGATCGTCTGGGAGCTGGTGGTGGAGTTGCAGGTTGTTCAACAATGGGTGAGACTGGTGGTGAAAGAGTGGACTCGTCGCTGACATGAGGTATTGGAGACTGTATCGGTTGCGTAGCAGGACGTGGAGGCGTACTTTGAACACATGGTATTTTAGACTTGGACGGATTTCGATGAGGGGGCGTTGACGGTCTTCTACAAGGTACAATGGGTATAGAAGGAGTAGGTCGAGGTGGATTGTTAGGTAAAGATGGAAAATCAGATGGTGATAAAGGAGGAACGGAAGATACGGGAGAAGTTGCAGATTCTGGAGTTATAACTCTTGTAGGCGTTACAGGAAGATCTTGAAACATAGATGGTGAGATTGGACGACGTGCCGGATTATGTATAGAAGTTGACAAGCGACGGTGTTTCATAGATGGGAGAGGAGACGTTTGAGTAGGCCATGGTATCTGTGCCTCACGACGCTTGATGACTGGTTGCAACTTCTTTTCAAGACTTGGAAATAAATCATTGTTGAATAACACATCACATGACTTCACAACTTTCGCGCTGGAGATATCCCAGACATTGTATCCATTCCCGTCAGGAAGATACGAGAGAAAAATTGCACGACTCCCCTTGGGATCAAGCTTCTTCCGATTAGCCTCCGGGATCTTGTAGTACACCTCACAACCAAATGGATGACATCTTGAGGGATCAATGGGAGCAATGGATACTAGAGATGAAGGGGATACAAATCCTGAGGGTGTGTAGCAGGGAATTGAGTTTAAAGAGTGAGCAAGAAATCTGAGAGCATCTACCCAGTATGACTTCGAGAGACCAGAGCTGGCTAACGAGCATCTGATATGGTTGCAAATCGTTCGATTTGTTCTTTCAGAAACTCCATTCAATTGAGGCGAGTGAGGTGGTCCGGGATCGTGATCAATCCCAGCTTCCGATAGGTATGATTTGAACTCATTTGAAAGATATTCACCGCCATTGTCGGTCCTTAGCTTCTTAATGGTGGATGAGAGACGAAGTTCAAATTTTGCACAAAAGGCTTTAAAACAGGCAAATGTATCGCTTTTCAATTTCATTGGATAAATGATTGTAAATTTAGAGTAATCATCTATAAAAGTTACAAAGTACTTATAACCTTCTCGAGAAGAAACTTCAAAGCTGCATACATCTGAGTGAATCAGTTCACCAATTGATGTGGCACGATATTCTGCTCTTGACTTGAACGAGTGACGAGACATCTTTGATTCTACGCAAGTTGAACACCTCTGCACTTCTATCTCATCTAACACGCTTGGAATTATATTGTGTTTCTTGAGAAAAGTCTTTAGTGGTTTAAGACCTATGTGACCAAGAGTGTTAAGCCAGTCGAGAAGAGACCTATTAGTTTTGCTAACTGAAGTTGAGTTGGAGTAAGGAGTATGTACCTTGGAAGGGATATAATAAAGATTACCTCGTCGATACCCTATTCCTAGGGGCTCGGTGAGGTTTATATCATCAGACTTGAAGAAAGAGCATGATGATTTGTCGAAGACAACTTTAAATCCATCATCACACAGAGAAGAAACAGAAAGTAAAGGCTCTTGAAGACCTGGGACAAGTAAAGATCGATGATGATGAAGAGTAGATGACATCAGTAAACCGACTATGCCGGAGTGAGTAGACTTGATGTAGGACGCATCAGCCAGTTGAATCTTTTTGTTCGACGACTCCAATTCGGTCAAAGCGGATTTGTCGGGAGTCATAGTAAGAGAACAACCGGAATCAATGTTCCAGTCAAAGGAGGTTGAGACACTATTGGCTGTTAAAACTCTAGCGGACTTTGCTTGAACAGTTTCGGTTCCGTCTTGAGAGTTATCTTCATCATCACTAAATTCTAAGGTGACGACAGAGGTCTTGCCCGCCTTGGTCGATTGGCGATTAGGTCGGCTGGAAGATGAGTGTCTACCACCTCGATTAGATGATGAGGAGCCACGGGACGAGTTCTGGCGGACCCAACAGTTTTCGACGTCGTGGTTGGTTCGCTCGCAGTGAGTACAGAATTTAGTATTTCGACGTTGTCCCTGATTTGAGCGATTATTGTTATTGAAAGTTCGATTGTTGGCGTAGGCTCGTGCTGCAACCAAGTCCGATGGAGAGATCAAGTCAGAAGAGGTTTTTCGTCTGGTGGCTTCGTTTTTGAGCGCTTTGATCACGGTAGCGGAGTCAACGGTCGTGCGTTGCATGAGCGGAGTTATAACCGGTAACCAGTCAAGAGGAAGGGATGTAAGAATGGAGGTGGTGTAGATATCATCTACTGTAAGAGGTGCTTCAGTTGTGATGAGTGAGTCGAGGCGTTCATAGATTTTATGGAGAGAGTTGATGTGGGCATCGATATCGCTCCCTTCCATACGAGTGGTGATTAGTTTGTGGAGTAGATGCATCCTTCCACCAGTGGACGAGTCTTCGTGAGCAACTCGAAGCGCTTTCCACATACCGGCAGCATCCCTTTGATGAGGTTTGATGTACTTAAGATTACCATCCTCAATGGATCGCGAGATGAGTGTACAAGCTTTGGTATTGTCGTCATCCCAGTTATTGGATCTGTCCTTGACGGCAATAGGTTGGAGAACGTAGCCCAGTTTGGCTGCATCGAGGGCGAGTTCCACCTTGAATTCCCAATCGTGATAATTGGAATCTTCACTAGGTGGGCGAAGAGACGTGATACCAGAGAGACGGATCTCTTTATCATCGGTGTTCGAGGAAGCCATGGGAAGATTTACTATCTTCATTCACCTTCGGACCTTTCCGAGACGAAGGATGAAGAATAGTAAAAAAAATTGAATAGAAGAAGATTAAGGTTGTGATTGAGTTGGTAGAGTATTCGAGATAGAGTTTCAGGCGGTAGCCGATGGGCTCATAACCTCTTGAGCTGATAAATCAGATCTAAAGCTGAATCTGGAGCAGCGTGAGATGAAACAGAGGAAAGGTTTAGATTGATTTCATCAAAGAGAAGAAAGAGAGAAAAGACAAGAGAAAAAGATGTGGATCCTACCTGGAGCAGCGTGAGATGAAACAGAGGAAAGGTGAAGAAAGAAAACACCTTTCCTGATGCTGCTCCAGTGGGATTATATAGTGAACATCTGTAGAACTATCACACGACTAACATGTTGTAAAGCACAGCGGAAATCAAATGAGAAAGTCTCGCAGGACTGTAGAGACTAGGTGTAGTCGACGTAGGACAGTTGTAGACATATTTGATATTCACATATTTGATATGTCACATATGACAATGAAGAAAGACGATTAGTCACGCAGGACTGTAAGACTTATCTCAACATCTATGTCACTATCATCTTCATCTACACTGTTGATGTGATCAGATTGGGAAATATGAGAGTCTTCATTGCTAAGTGAGGCAAGCGATTCGTCTGTGCTGTAGTCTATCATGTTTTCTGGCTGAGGGAAGACACTTTTGATGTCTTGATCAAGTGACGGAAGACAGGCATTTTTTTCCTTGTAGCGAAGTAGCATAAGAGAAAGCAAGATTGATTTAAATTCTTCACTGTAAAGGTCCAAAGGGAGGCCTTCAGGTACGTTTTGAAAATCTTGATGAGGGGAAGCCACATAAGATATTGGGATTTGCAGAACTGCGAGTAATAAACCCATCGTTCTTTTTGAATTTGGCAACCAATTCGGATCTCAACCTCTTCAACTTTGCCCATAAACATACAGTTTTTCCTTCTAAATACTGATGCAATTTTGCGGTGAACCCCACATTCTTTCAAGAATTCTCAATACTTGGTGAGCCGCTGAGATAATTGAGACAAAACACGTAGTCAGCATCAGCAGAAAAAAAGATCAAGTCTAACTCACATTTTCTTTTTCTTTTCTACCTTCATTCATTTTGTAACAATCTTGAAATACAAGTGGATTACTTATCTGAGCCTTGTACCCAGCTCGAAGAGTTTTGGATGCACAAAAGACCATGGCAACAAGTTGAATAGTTTCACAATACTTTTTGAGTCTATCAAGGCCATACTCCTTTGTATTAACAGCAAGCTCAAATGTTTTGAGGAATAATTGAACACTAATTTGATAAAAAGCATCATCAAAATTCCCATCCCAATCAAATGTGAAACGGTCAAGACCCCATCAATGTAGTGTCATATCTAAGGTATTGTAATACGTGTCACTGATACGGTTAGTGATTCACAGAAGCAGATTGGCTGGCAGAAGGCATGGTCCGAGATTGTCTGGGAAGTCGGATTCTGCATACTGATCCTCCAAAACAAGTCTTTCAGAGGAGGTTGGTGGAGGTGGGATTGGGCTTGTTGCATTGGGGCGGCACATGAGTACTCAAAGATGCAGGTGTGTGATTAGCTATGTTCCAGGATTTTCACCACCAGCAAGCCATTCTTGAACTTGGGTTTGATGGAAGATTATGCAAACAAACTCACATTTGATTGTTTAATTTCCAAAGTGTCTACGGTCTTGAGATAATCCTGTTTCAGGATTTCCTTCTTCATTTCAACACTGGAGTTTTGACAGTGTGATCCACTTTTTCCTTTATGGCGTGGGGATGATTTTGATTTTGATTTTTTTTGTTTTGATCTCTTCTTTGAATCATCTCTAAAGGAGTTCCAGTGGAGGGTGTTGGTGATCTACCCTTTGGGTGATATTGGGATGATCCTTTCTGGGGCATGGTGAAAGAGTTGAGATAGAAGTGTATACTAAAGATCTACCATGGACAAGTGGATGGCAGCTGGATGAATCTTTGAAAGGGTTTTTTTTAAAATGTTTGTTTGTATTTACTTACATACAACATATCATATATATATTGCACTATGTGAAAGGGACTGGACATATGTAATATGTATCACATAATTATTCATATGTAATGAATAGGCAGGTGCCAGCAGAGCCTGAGGGTAACCTGCAAACGTAATGTGAACGTGTTGCAAACGAAACCCGTGATTGGAGGAAGTTGCGGACTCATACACCGCAACTTTGCTCAATTGGGTTTCAAACTTATAATTTCACGCTGTGGTGAACAGATTCGACTTGAGCTCAGCATTATTTATAGCTGAAGCTCAAGGTTGGCTGCTCATACTATTCTACGGTTATTAAATTTTTCAACTCATCATCACGATTGTATTGAGGCTCAGAAGACTAAGAATTCAATAAAATGAAACAACAAAATTAATTTTTTATTCAGTTTGTATATCGATATTTTTTTTACAAATCATAAAAGATCACATAAATCGAAAGGAAATTAAATTTTATATATTTGAATTGAAGTAAAGACAAGAAAAATAAAAAAATTAAATAAATAAATTAAATTAATCAACCTAAGAAACAAGTTCAAATCAAAGACGAGATGAGAATACAAGAGCAAGCAAAGATAAAGGAATAGGCAGTGAGGGGGTGAGAGTAATGAGGCAATGAAAGTTTTTAGTTTAAATCGAATTGTGTGAGGTGGAGATCGATTGATGGGTACGTAGAAAGACAATCGAGAAAAGAGATGAATAAATTAGATGAATAGGAGTCAGTATAAGGTTAAAAGAAGAGGATTGGTCGAGAGAAGAACTCACGCTTAAAGGAAAGAAAGTTGAAGTGGGAATTGAATTGTGTGAGGTGGAGATCGATCAATGGATATCTAGAAAGGGTGATCAAGGCAAGAAAGGAATAAATTAAAAGGATAAGTGTCAGTAAAACTCTAAAAAAGAAGAAACGTGATTGAGAGAATAACTTACAGTTGAAGGTTAAAGTCAAAATATGTGAAAGAGATAAGAGCAAGATCAAGATTGAGTGCTGGAATCGAAGATAAGAGCACGATAGGGGTAAATTGCTTCGATAAACTGCAAAAAGAGGACTGTGGGAAGATTTGAAGGGTGTGGGTCTTTTTGAGTGAGATTCGGTTCAATTGGGGAAGATTCGGATCCTAGGAAGGAAAGAAATAGGTAAAATAAAATGGGGTAGAGATTAGAAAAGGTTGAAAAGGGAGAACAGTAAAGAGGAGAACTTACTCGAGGTGAAAATTGGAGATCAAAGGACGAAGCGAGTGGGGGAAAAGAGAGTGGGTAGTTGAAGAAGATGCATGGGAGCTGGAGGTGGAGAAAGCAAAGGGAAGGTTAAAGATAAATAGGAAAGAGAAGTGAAAGACTCACCTCGAATTTGAAAGTTGGGATCGAGATCGGAAGGAAAGGTTGAAGGGAAGTGGAGACAAGCTGGATGGTGTTAGCAGGGTCAGTTGGGCAAGAAAATTGGTGGAAAACTTAAAGAATCGATGGGAAAGTAAAAATGAGGTGACGAGATCGAGAGAAGTTAGTAAAAGGATGATCAGGAAGAATGAAAGGTACGTACCAGTCAATAGAAACCTAAACGAAAATCCAATGGGAATCCGGGTTGCGATCGGAGATGAAATCAACGTCGGAAAGGATGAGGAGGTGATCGAAAGGGGTTCTAAAAAGGAGGATCTGTCTTGTTTTTTTTGGGGGTCTTGTGTGGGTTCGTGTCAAAAAGAATACAGAAAAAGAAATCCTTATTATTTTTTTTAGTGATCAAGGATTGAAATTGTTTTGTGTTAAAGTGTTAGGAGCTGAATATTGAAGTCTTGGTTTTTTCAAGTGTTCTGGTTATGAGATTTGTGTGTTAGTCTTCTCTAAACGTTCATTGTACAAGTAGTTCTAGAAAGTCTTTTTTGAAAAAGTTAAGCAAAAGAAAGAAAAGGAAGTGTTAGTATTAATCACTCGATCCAATCAAAGTTATCTAGTTACGTTCCTTTTTTATTTTTTTGATCATCAAAAGAAAGAAAGATAAAAGGTAGAAACAAACGTACCTTTGCTGCTGTTTGGATTATTGCTTAACATTGTAGTCTTGAATAGTGGTGTTGTGGCATTGTAGTGTTTTCTTTTGAGTGGTATTGCTGAGCTGGGCAAGAGTTCAATTAGTTATTTTTATTTTTTTATTTTTTATTACTACATTTCACATTACGTGAAAGGTCTTTCTTCAGGGCCAACCCGGATCCTTGGTTCAAACCCCTTATAGGTCTTAGATAGTTTTTTTTAGAATTTTATTTTTTTTAGTGTAGTCCTGCTAAAAATTATACTTGGGTTTGGAAAATTTTATTTCCTTCCTCCTATCCCTTTGCTCGTCATAAATTATCTAGGTTTTATTTTGTTCAAATATCAAATTTATTTTTTTACGCGTAGTAAGAATTACAATAAAACTAGAATTCAACATAGTTTTACAACACAACCTTGTGTAGTATTGTGTGGTATATCATTGTAATCCGCCAGATCTTGAAGTTCCTTAGATATATCAGAATAGGGTTACGTGTTGGACTTGTGAAGGTAGAAAGTTGTTAGAGAGTTGTTTCCTTTTTTTTTCTTTTTTTTTTGAACTTCAAGGCTATCAGAGGTCAGAGAAGGGTGTGATGATAGTATAACTGAGATTGAAGCATAAGGATACAACAGTCTGAGCGTGTGGGACTAAATCTAACAGTCTCCTCTATAAAAGCATATCCTAATATGAGGTTATAACACTACTCCCCCTTTACATCCCACTCCCCCTTGCTGAGCTGATGCCTTGTCCACGGGCTAGCATTAAAAAACCCCTGTAGGTAAAAAGCATTGCCCTCACTTTAACCGCCTTGTCCTTCTGTAGTCTTGATCTGCCGTTGGGTATAACTGCATTACAGTATTAGTGTGAGGTC